GTGGTTTCTGATGAAAAGGGATTTTCCTGGGCTCCTGCTCTCGTCACCACTCTCAGAGCAGTTGGGGCAATCTTCGTGCAGTGCAGCACAAAGCAGTGCTGTGGGCTGATGCCCTGACAGCTCCTTTGCCTGCTCAGCAGCTCCTGCAACCACAGCTACAGTCCTGCTTGCTTCACCCATGGTCAGCAATTCCATGGGCAAAGTGTGGGAGTTTGAGCCCTGTGACAAGGAGGAAGGGCTTGCAGCTGGGAAACAGTGAGGCACAGGATGGCTGCAGGCAGAGGAGAGACTCATGTGGGCAAAGAGAGGAGACGCCATTCCCTGCAGCAAGCAGAGGCCACAGAATGAGGGAAGAGGAAGAAAGTAAAAAGTATCCCAATGACCAAAGTATTCTCTATGAGTCGTGCAGCTACTCCTGCTCTCCTGCTCTCCAGGGACAGAGGGAGATCCCTACTGAGATACTGCTGGAGCAACAGCCCCTGAGCATCGGCTGGGTGCTGAGAGCTGTGGACCTCTGTCCACCTCTGCTGTCTTCCCCTTCTCTGAAGCCCACCAAGGGAGCATGGGATGCTCTGGGATCCCAGGAGCAGATGGCACTGGAGGGGTGATCCTGGATAGGTCCAGGCAGTGCCACCATCATTTAGGGACACCAGGTGGTGCCTCGCTGTGCTGGATGCCCCCCTCCCCACCCATGGCTGCAGTGATGGGCAGATCCTGCAATGCTCAGCAGCACTGTGGTGTGCAAAGTGTTAAGCTGTCAGGAGCTGCAGGAGGAGAGCAGACCTTTGTCCAGCTGCCCCTGCACCTTATCTGCACGATGCCTGGGTGAAGCACGGCGAAAGGTGATGTCAATACAGCAAACAGTTACAGAAACCATATGCTGGTCAGCAGCACAATCAGTGTTTCGAAGTAAGGCAGATATTTCCTTTTGTGGCAATCAGAAATCCAAAGCCTGGAAGTGTTTACTTCCAGCTCTGAGCTTTGCAGTGACCATTCAGCTCTCCTCTGGAATCGCTGCAGGGGGACCTGAGCGCCCTGCTCTGAGCTCAGCCCCGCAGCAAGGCAAGCTGTGCAGAGCCACGGATAAAAATAACCCTTCTGTGCACTTCCCCATGTGCTCAGGATGCATCATGCATGAGCCACCACGCATCACCCACGTCCCTTGCACTGTCAGCAATCACATGCGCTGCGGTGGCTCCTGGGGAGGGATGCAGCTCCCTGAGACCCTTGAAGCCCCCAACCCACTGTGCTGGCTGCAGAGATTTGGCAGCACGCAGCTCTGTGCCTTCATGCACCCACAAACCAGAGTCCTTTGAGAGCTCCTTGGGGGATTGAAGGAAAATCTGCTGGAAGTCACCTGCTGTGCGGGGAGTTTTGTGGCACAGAAAGAGCCAGGGGGTTTCTTTGCTCTCCTAATGATCTCCTCGTTTGTTGGTGGCAGCTCAGCCTGCTGAAGCCGTGCATTTTGCTGCTGAGCTCTGCCCTCCCGGCCCCTGCCCTGCCCAGATCCACCTCCCGGGGCTTTCTGAGCAAACTTTCCACTTCTTCCACTGCACAAATCCCAGTGAGAGACCACAAAGGCCGAGCCTCCAGACCAAACGAACGGCACGGTCTCCTCCTGCAGCTCACTCCAGCACAGTCAGCACTGAGGGTGCACGGGAAGGAGGACACAGATTGGGGCAGCAGAGACCTGCAGGATCACTGCTTTGGGAATGGCAACCACTCCGGGTTCTGTTTTACCAAAGCATTTATTGAGCCGTGTTCAAAAACATGACAATCTGCAGGGCTTGCTCCGCAGGGCCGCCCGAGGCATTTTGTGTGCACTCCTCGGCACGGAGTGAACCTCCGTGTGCTCTGCACTCCCCAGCTTGGGGACTTCTTCTCCATCCCCATGGCGCTGAGCAGCTCCTGCCCCACTCGTGGCCATGGCCGCAACCCGGCGGCTCCACTTCCCTCCCACCCCATAGGACTCACAGCCCTAAGGGGCAGCGGGTGCGAAGCCCACCCGGTTATTTCCACGGTCGAAGACGGAATAATACTGTCGGATGAAAACGTCACCCAAAATCCAGAGGGGTCCGGCAGGAGGGGGGATGTCCATACCCTGGAAGCCGCTGAGGCAGATGTCCATGCCGTCACTTTGCTCCTGCAGGGAGAACAGTGATGCTGGGGTCAACCCAAGAGCACACAGAAGGAGAAAGAAGGGGGATTTGGGGTCCTGGGAACCCAGCAGGTGGGAGCTGTGGGTACCATGAGGGTGTAGGCTTGGGCAGAGAGCGTGTAGGGGATCCCGTTGATGGTGAAGGTGACGATGGGCATCGAGCTCAGGAGGCTGCAGTCCACGACGTACTGCAAGAAAATGGGGATGGCTCACATGCCAGCACTGTGCATTCCTCTTCCCCCACCACCACCTTGGCAGTGGTCCCCTGATGTTAATACATGGGCAGCAATGAATGCAGAAAATCTTTGCTGTGATTGCCTCAGTGCCACAGCACGCAGTGCTACCCTCCTTTGGGTATCCTTTGAAGCACTCCTCCCTGCAGTGCCCATCCCCAGGGCTTTGCCCCTGCTGTCCCCCCTCGCTCTCACCTCACCATCCATAGGTGTGGCACCAATATATCTTTGCATCTCCTTTATGTCCTTGGTGGGACCAGTGAGCAGAGACGTGCCGGTGTCCACGATGGCCTGGCAGCCATTGGCACAGAAAGCCACCGTCCCCCCTACCTGCACACTGCGGGAAGGTGCAAGAGGTGGGGAGCACTGGGGATAACTGGAAGGGACCCCAAACCCCCACGCTGCCCAGCCCCACTCACTTGTCCAGCTGGATCTGCCAGTAGCCCTGCACTGTGACCGGCACCCAGTGCAGGGTGCCCAGGAAGCGGGAGGGATCAAAGCCCCCAAAGAGCACTTCTCCACCCAAGGAGGAGTCCGGGTTCCTGGAGGAAGGGGGGGATGTGAGCCATTTATTTTCCTTTTCCATCTTAAAAAAATAAGTGGATTGATATCCATATGCTTCCCACAGATGCTCAGGGTTTTAAGCCTCACTCTGGGATGGTCTGAGCTCTGTGATGCTCAGCACGCTTTTTGCCATCCTGCTGCTCCCTAAAAGTAACACCTGCACCAGAACCACATCCTTACGCGCTCATGTAGACAGAGAAGATGGGCAGTTCCACCAGATCTTGGGCCATCATGTTGTCAAAGACAGGGGTGACCCCATCCACGGCCAGCGAGGGGTACGCCAGCCCCAGGACCCCATCAAATTCTGAATCCTGGAAGGTTTTTCCCGGCTCGCTGACGCTCTCTGCAAAGGGCTGGTTGCACACGGTCATGCCTTCCACCTGTGGGATGGACGAGGCTCATTGATGGCTCTGGGACATCCCGTGTCACGACTCAGCAGGCGACCCGAACGCGACTCACGGTGACATCATCAGAGCCGATGATGCCAGTCAGGCTGCCGGTCCCATACTGGAGGGAGATGGGGAGACCCAAGGGCTGGTAGGTGCTGGAGCGTGACGGCTGGAAGCGGGCGTGATTGGCTGGGGAGAGAGCAGCTTGCCAGAAAAATGGGCATGTAGGGGTGCTTTGGGGAGCTTTGCTGGGGGGAAGGGTGAGCTTGTGCAGTGTTCAGTGAGAGATGACGATCGTCAGTGCTATTCCCAAAGCACAGACAGCGATTCTTGCAGCCCATCACTGCAGGCTGTGCTGTTTCTGGCTTTGATCCCCAACCCCTTTGTGCTTTGCAGGGCATTGCTGCGTGATGTGCTGCAGTGCTGGGAGCTCAAACAAGCACAGCACTTGTCCCCAGCCCAACCCCGGGCACCCAGCCCAGCACTGTGGTCTCTGTGCCTGCCTTGTTCCTGCCACTCAGCTCCTCGCTGACCATCCGCATTATGTGCTATAATCTCTCCTTGTTTGCTCAAAGGCCCTCCCATAAGAAAGGCCCAAAGATCCTGGCTGATATCTCCCATGGGCCGATGGTACCGGGTCCTGGTGGTGTGATTGCTGCCGAGCAAATAAACCCACGCTGCTCCTATCCCCACTGCACCCCATGCAGAGTGCAAACACTGCACCTCCTGCATCCTGCTGCTGCTCTGACCCCATGGCCCCACTGGGGCCACTTTGCACAGCCTGACTCGTTCAGGGATCCCCTACTCACTGCAGGCTTTGCTGGTGCAGTAGATGGATGGCACCCAGAGGTTGGAGGAGCCCGTGTCGAATATCACCGTGAAGTTCTGCGGTGGGGTCCCGATGGAAATCTGCCCAAAGTACTCCATCTGGGAAAGGCAGAGCAGAGGCTGTTGTTGGCCACTGGAGCTGCAAAGCACCCTGGCAGAGGGGCTGTGTGTGGGGTGAATAGGGAACAGTGTGAGGATGGCTGCATTGTGAAGCGTTTGTCTGCCTGGGCTGCATTGTGCCGAGGGAATAGAGAAGCCAAATATTTAAGGAACAGAAGTGCAAGCTGAAAACAAAGGCAGGATGGTGGGTGTGGGCACGAGCCTCTTCCCGCAGGGCTGCAAGATAGGGTCCCCTTGTACTCCCCAGCATAGAGATGCAAACAATACACAGAGCTCTGGAGACCCCTTTTGCCTCTGCCCGTGCATCCCTTGTGCAGAGGCCTTCTCTGCTGCTGCAGATGGAGGGGAATTTGGCTCCTGGGGCCTGGGTGGGTAGCACAGAACAAGCAGGGGGAGGGCTGGCAACGAACACGCTGCCTTGTTTGTGCTCAGCATCATCTGCAGGAACAAAAGGAGCAGCTGGGTGCAGGCAGCCACCATCCCAGGCATGCTGCAGCTCGTTCCTTGCGCGGGAGCAGATTTATTTGAGAAGGATTTGGGCGTTCAGGAGCACTATGCAGCACAGCAATCTTTCAGGACGCTCCGGGCTGCCACCGACTCCACTGCACTCACATCCAGGTAGTTGATGAGGGGCTCGTTGGCTTCCCCGAAGAGAGAGCAGTCCTGTGTGTACTGCACCATGTCCAGCCTGTGGGCCTTCCAGAACTGGGAGAGCTGCCCACGGTCCCGCAGCGACTTCCGCAGGGAGCGGTGCCGCGTCAGGGTCACCCTGCAGAGCACGGGTCTGCATCACTGCATGGGCACAGGGCTCGGGATGCTGCAGTCCCTGCGCCCCTGCACCCACCCCAAGCATCTCCCAGTGCTGATGCAGCCCTCAGCTGCGTCCTCACCTCCTGTGTGGGAGATAGCAGCGCTTCCCCCCCCCCCCCGGGAAACCCCCAGCACCCTGCGATCCCCTTTACCTCTTCAAGCCGCTGCATGGAGCGAGGCAGAGCACGGCGAGGAGGAGGAGGAGGAGGAGGAGAAGGCTGTGCATGGCGGCGGTGCAGGGCTGCACGGCGAGGTGGTTCTTATACCAACAGGTACACCCTCGCCCCGCGCTATCAGCGATAACGCCCCTCTCCGTGTCAACACTGGGCTTTGGCTGCGGCAATGAATCACTGGGCACCTCTCGGTCAGGTCAGAGCGCCGGGTTGCTGGGGAGGACGAGGGGCTGGGCCACGTGGGGCTGTATGTGGGGTGGGTAATAGGGGACCTCTGGGCACCCCCGCTGTTTTTTTTCCTCCCCATCCCAGGTTTTTTCGCTAGGGTTGCAGGAAGGGGACGTTCAGATGGTGCCGAGCTGCCTCGAAAAGGCAAAGATCTCATTAGCCTTGATGAGCTGCTCAGGAATCTGCAGCTTTGCTTTTTGTCATCGAAGCACGGGCTTTGGCAAAAGCTGCTCTGCTTTAGGAACAGTTACATGTTGCCTTACAGCCACTGATGGGTTCTTCCCCAGTGGTTTCTGCTTAATGCTGGACAGCCATCTCATTAAGCATCTGAGAATGCAAATAAAGGATGCTAATGAACAAACACAACTCCTATCTGCTGCTGAGGCTTTGTCTTCCTGTGATTGTTTCCCATGTTTGTGGCCCTGCAGCGACTGATGATGGATGCCACAAGGAGAGGTGTGAGCAGCACTCACGTTATTAACAGCATTTCTACCCCTAGCGCAGCGCTAATCAATTTCCCATTTATTGTGGTTAGACCGTTTTATTTAATCTTATTTAATTAATGGCAAAGCAACCGGCTCTGAGGGGTCCGTAAATGCACAGCAGTCACCTGGAATGCTCTGTCATGGGATGGATGGGTGGTTCTGCTAACATTGGGCTGGATCCCAGGCCAGGAGCAGATCCTCTGTGTGTCCCCACGTCCCTGCACCCAGGCTGGCAGCTGCAGCCTTTCCACTGAGCAGCCCTTGCACAAAGTCATCCCTATCATATTTTAAACACTGTTTCATACGCCTTTCCCTATAGTTCCATGCATCCTCCCTCCTTGTCCCAATGATACGTGGGACATAGAAGGATTAGAAAAAAAGCAACCCTTCCTGTAAGCAAGGGGAGGATCAGCCAAAAGCTGAGGAGGCACAGCAGCACATCCACTGCTCCAGGTGTGACTTATCCATTGGAAATCCCATAATAAACCCCTCCTGCCCTCGGGCTGTGTGCTGGGGAGCTTGGGCTGAGTGCTCCACGTTTGGCACTGGAAAAGATCCCTTCTTGGGTCAGGGCTGGAATGGCCACAGGGAACAGGGATGCGCTGTGGATGGGAAGCGACCTCCCTTCAGCTCCATTTATGGCACCTGACTCATTACAAGAAAACTGCTCTCAGGCTAAAAATAGGTTATCTGCATTCTTTTTTCTTCTCTGTATTTCCTTTCCTTCAGCCACTTCCACTATTAGCAACCAGTGATTCACATCGTACCCGAGCATCACCTTCTGAAAAGCCTTTTTGCTCTGATTATCAAATCCATCTCCCACCTGCTAATCTGTTTGCATATCACAGAAAGAGTAAAACCCTGTAACAGCAGCACTGAAAAAAATAAATATTTTTATTTCCGAGAGCGATAAACAACCAAACTCCAGCTAAATATTTACCCACAGCAACAGCAGCTGATGGGTGAAGGCTGAGACCCAATGGAATCACCCAGCAGCTCTCGGGAGCCCAGCTCAACCTCCTCACCTGCTGGTGATGGGGCTCATAGGGGGCTCACATGGAGCATTTACCCCAGAGCTGCTCTGTGTGCCCTGCTTGCAGTGGAGCAACATTTTCTCCCTGCATTAGAGCTGCCCATGGGAGCACGTGGTGCAGTTGGCCGGTGGGAGCTGTGTGGGGCTGCAGCTTTCCCATCCTAGGGCCCAACCTACAGCAGAGAAACACCCCAAAATATTTAAATGAGCGAATGCAAGCGTCATGGAACCCGGTGCCATCACTTCTGGGGGCAAAGCGAGACCGCATCCGGCGCCCAGTCAGTGAGCACTGCTGCACCAGCTGCAGTCAAACACCCACCAAAAATGCTCCAGAAACATCCCTGACCTCTGCAGAGCATCCCATCCATCTGCTCTGTGCCTCGAAGGCAGGACGGACACACGAGGTCTCTGCACCCCAGGTAACACCCAATGGGCAGCCAACGTGCCGCGCTCCGTGTGGTGCTGGGCAGCACAGGGCTGTGCTGGGGCTGTGCTGTGCTGAGCTCTACAGCTAAAACTGAGTGCTGAGGTCAGGCAGGAATAGGTTTGAAGTCATCTGGGGCAACGCCGTGGGTTTGCTTACCTTCAGATTGAGCGCAGACATCTTGCACTCGCAGCTCAACCAGCCAAGCGCTCTACAAACCTTGAGTGCAATGGGGCATCTTGCTATAGATGGGGTTAATACCCTGGGGGTGGGCAGGAGGGGGCTCACAGCCCCTGAGACACCAAAAAAGTACATGTGCTGCAGCCCTTATCTGCAAAACAGGTATTTCAAGGCGCATCTGTGCGTAATCTCTTCCATCTCAATGCACCCCAGCAAAGAAGCTGCCTGCTGCTGGTGTTTGGGTTTGGGTCCTGCTTTGCTGTTTCCTTCTAAGCAGTTCAATTCTCAGATTGCTATCTGCTGCTGCAGCAATCTCCTGCACCAAAATAGGAAATGAGCCACTCAAACGGCGGCCATTTGAGGAGGATATTTGGGGTGAGCTCAGATCAATAAGGAAGGGGGAAAGTCCTGGCAAGACATGGACTCCTAGCTCAGCAGGTGCCCAAGGGTTGGGTAAGTGGGACGGTGCAGGGGAACGATGCCATTCTGATGCTTTACTCTTGGAAATACATCTTTGGGCTTTTGGCCCATGGGATGGATGGGCCTTGGCTCTGTCGATCTGCGTTTATCACTCACATCATTATGGCTCCTTTAATCACAGCTTTAGCTGAAGATACCTCTGCACGAAAACCGAGGGCATTTTTTTGCGAGTGAGCACTCACGAAATGAAGGCTCTTGATTGCTGTCCTTCATTATAAATCCCCAAGCAGTACAGCCAAAAATCTCAAGCCAAGGAGCCCGCTTCAGGCACACGTATTATCTGCCGTGCTTTAAGTCCTGACAGCTTCAGCAGGATTGAGGCACTCACCTACAATGAAATCCGAGGTGTTTCAAGCGCAGTTGAAGGGAAGTGCACGCCTCCATTTGCAATGGGATTGGAGCCAATGATTTCCTGCAGCACTTGGAAAATCCTCTCCCAGGTGCCCGGCGGGAGGCAGTGAGGCATCAAGCACAGCTTTGCCTGTTGGTTACTTTCTCCTACGATTTATTTTTGCCTCCAGATGAGAGTTATTGAGTATTTTTTTGCGGATTAAAAGAAAAAAAAAAAAAAAAGTGAAGAAATGTGAAAGAGGATTAAAGCAAGGAGGATGCATTGCAGCTGGCGGCGATGGGGCTGTTATCAGCCCCGAAGCTCCGTGCTGGGAGCAGATAGAGCTGAGGGGATGAGGGCAGGGAAAAGGCTGAGCATAGGGGTGTGTGGGGCTGCCTGTGTCTGTCTGTCTGTCTCCAGGAACCTCAGGGACGTTGCTGGCACCACAGTGACGACGGAGATGGAGCACTGTGAGTGGTGAGTGCTGCACGGCCCCATGGCACAGCTGGGGCTTGGGGTCTGGGCTGAAGGTCGGTGGGAGCCCTCTGCATCACTGCTGCTTGGGGTTTTCAAAATCCCTTCTTGGGATGGGACCCCAGAATGAAGGGTGTGGAGCCCGGGGCGCTAAGAATGAAAAGCAAAACCAAAACCTCTGCTGGTAAACTTTGGGCTGAACAGGCTTGGAGGCCACGTCAGCCAAAGCGATGCTGAAAGATTTCAAATAATTCTGATATTTCTTTCATTTGGGCAAAATCCTTTTCTCCCATTCAGGTGGGTGCCTGTCGCCACCTCAGCTGTGACCCTGCTGCTCAGCTCTCTGCTCCTGCTGCTGCTTTACATCATGCTCAGCAGGAAAATAGGTAACGCACCACCCTGAGCTCGTCCATCAGCCCTCAGCTTAGAGAAGGAAAGGGATCTGCCCAAAGCCTCAGCACCCCCATCCCTGAGGCACCCACAGCACCTTGTCTGGCCCTGATTCTCTCTCCTGCTATGGGGCACTGGGTCTGGGCACCCCTGCACCCATCAGACCCCCCCTGCTCAGCACTGATGTGGAGCCGTATTGATCGCAGCGCAGCAGAGCAGCCATGCACAGTGATGGAGTTGCACAGCCCAGGATGCAGTGCTGCTCCAAAAACATTTTGTATTATTGTGCTGTAACCACCCCCATAAAGCATTCGCTACCATCCATGAGTCAGTGTAAAGATAGAGCATTGGCCACCTCTCCCGTTCAGCAACATCTAAGGCCAGTTGGACAGCCTTTACCTCTGCAAATTGGCTTGATTCTCCTTTCCCTTCAGTGGCCTCTGCAACTTGTCGTGTGGGGCTCCACACAGCAGATTTCCATCTGCGATGCTTTCCCACAATACGACACGATCCATCTGTGAACAGGGCATATTTCTTTTCATTCTCTGGTAGTTCATTGTATGGTGGGGCTTCTTTAGCACGTGATACCTCTTCTCCTGGTGGTGTTCCAAACTTTTTACCTTCAGGCCAGTCCATGATGACCTCTAGGATTCCTGGACGGCTGAGGTTCCCCATCCGTGCTCGTTGTGTAATCAGTGCAATCCACTTACTCCAAGTGGCATCAGTAGCATGATGGGTGGAGGGAACCTTTCCTTTAAACATCCAGTTCAGCACTGGCAGTCGAGGTGCCAGAAGAAGCTGTGTTTCAGTACCGACTACTTCGGAAGCAGCCCGAACCCCCTCATATGCGGCTAAGATCTCCTTCTCAGTTGGAGTGTAGCGCTCTTCAGACCCTCTGTACGCCCGACTCCAGAATCCCAGGGGTCGGCCTCGAGTCTCTCCTGAGGCTCTTTGCCACAAACTCCAAGTGGGACCGTTCTCTCCAGCAGCGGTATAGAGGATGTTCTTTATACCCTGTCCCGTCCGTACTGGCCCTAGGGCCACGGCACGGGCTATCTCCTGTTTAATCTGTTCAAAAGCCTGCTGCTGCTCAGGGCCCCATGTAAACTCATTTCTCATTCGGGTCACATGATAAAGGGGGCTTACAATGAGGCTGTAGTTTGGAACGTGCATTCTCCAAAAGCCCACTGCACCCAGAAAAGATTGTGTCTCTCTTTTGCTAGTGGGTGGAGACATAGCAGTGATTTTGTCGATCACGTCTGTCGGGATGTGACGACGGCCATCTTGCCACTTTATGCCTAGGAACTGAATCTCCTGGGCAGGTCCTTTCACTTTGCTTCGCTTAATAGCGAAACCAGCACTCAGAAGAATTTGGATCGTTCGCTCTCCTTTTGTAAAGACTTCTTCTGCTGTATCGCCCCACACAATGATGTCATCAATGTACTGCAGGTGCTCAGGAGCACTGCCCTGTTCCAATACAGTTTGGATCAACCCATGGCAAATGGTCGGGCTGTGTTTCCACCCCTGGGGCAAACGGTTCCAGGTATACTGAATGCCCCTCCATGTGAAAGCAAACTGTGGCTTACATTCTTTGGCCAAAGGAATGGAAAAGAAGGCATTAGCAATGTCAATGGTGGCATACCATTTGGCTGCTTTTGACTCCAGTTCATACTGGAGTTCTAACATGTCCGGCACAGCAGCACTCAGAGGGGGTGTGACTTCATTCAGGCCACGGTAGTCCACCGTCAGTCTCCATTCTCCACTGGCTTTACGCACTGGCCATATGGGGCTGTTAAAAGGTGAGTGAGTTTTGCTGATCACTCCCTGGCTCTCTAGTTGACGAATTAACTTATGAATGGGGAGCAAAGAATCCCTATTGGTGCGGTACTGCCGCCTGTGCACCGTTTTTGTAGCAATTGGTACGTGTTGCTCTTTTACTCGCAGCAGCCCCACAACAGATGGATCTTCTGACAGGCCAGGCAAAACAGACAGCTGCTTAATGTTGTCTATGTCCACAGCAGCTATTCCAAAGGCCCATCGATACCCCTTAGGATCCTTGAAATGCCCCCTTCTGAGATAATCAATACCTAGTATACATGGAGCCCCTGGGCCCGTCACAATAGGATGTTTTTGCCAGTCCTTACCAGTGAGGCTTATCTCAGCCTCCAACACAGTCAATTCTTGAGAGCCCCCCGTCACTCCAGAAATATGGATTGATTCTGTCCCTTGGTGACTCGAGGGCATCAGAGTGCACTGTGCACCAGTGTCCACCAGTGCCTTATATTTCAGTGGTTCTGATGTGCCAGGCCATCGAATCCACACAGTCCAATATACTCTATTATCCCTTTCCCCCTCCTGACTGAGGGCAGGGCCCCTCTATTCATTACCTGTGGTAACTGGAGCAACTGCACTGATGGTTGATCTGCTTTGTAATTCTTTCACCCGGGCTCGTAGTACAGGAGTAGGCTGACCGTGCCACTTCCCCATGTCTTCTCCATGGTCACGCAGGTAATACCATAAGACAATTCGTGGTGTATTACCCCTTACTTGAGCCGGAGAGCGTTTGCTTCTAACAGCTGAGATCTTTGACCGTGCACGTGAGAAGGAAGGTTCATCGTCTTTAGTTAGGTGGGCTCGCATCATCTCCTTCATCTCCTTGATTTCCTTCATTAGACTCTTTTGATTATCCTGATCTTCATCAAGCGTCTCTGATACTGCTACAGGTTTGTCGCGGTTAATCAGTTGAGACACTTGCTCCGTCATTTTTGATATCGCAGCAACGGCAGCATGAATCGGGGACAGCAATTGTTCGTAGTTTTGGAGCGTAACAATTAATTCATAAACTAAGGGCGTTCTCTGTTGTTCGTTGAATCTGTCACACGCTGACATCAGTGTAGAGGCATATTTGTCCGGCGCTGTTGTCACGATTTTCTGCCATATCTCAGGCGTTGTCCTCACTCTTTCAGGGTCGCGGTTTTGGTGTGGGTCGTTAGGAACAAAGTCAGGGTCATACAACATTTCCACCACGCCTATTTCCCTCAAATACTGGATCCCCTTTTCAACTGTATCCCATTTTTTCATTGCAATCTTCAAGCCATTTTTGAAGGGATACTTTTCCTTCACGGCTGTTAACACTCGTTCCCAGAGGGAGGCAGCTTCATCCGAACATCGACTAATTCCTCTATCAATAGCTGGATCTCTGGCAATGGCACCTAGTTGGCGAGCTTCATTACCATCCAGAGACAAGCTATGGGCCCCACTGTCCCAACAGCGAACCAACCAGGAAACAAGAGTTTCATTCGGGCGCCGTGTAAACTCCTTTCTTGAACCTTGGATTTCAGTCATCTTTAGAGGCCGGCGAGTAGTAATAGAGACTTCCTCTTCATCACTCTCTTCTGCACGTCTCTTAGTTTTCCCTTTTGCCTTTCGCGATGGTGGTGGTCCTGAGGAGGGCCCCTCGCCTGGATCTTCCTCCACCTCCTCCTCCTCTTCTTCTCTTTTTCGTTCAAGACGCGAAGACACTCGTTTCCATTTCTTGCCCTCCACAGGAGCAACTGGTATTGTTACTGGTGTCTCCTGTGATTGATTAGATTTGACTTGGGGATTTTCCCCTTTAGCTTGAACCTCAGCTCGGAAACTCTCTCTCTCCAGAATGGTGTTATATAGGGCACGGTAAGCACAAGCCAAACCCCAAATAAGTTGTACCTCCTTAGATTTATGTAAGCCGCATAGTCCCTGACTCAAATACTGGCTTAGTTTCTCAGGATCCCACAGGTGTTCAAGGGTAAAATCCCATGACACTGCGGGTCCCCATGCTTCTAAGACCTTTCTTAAACCTCTCCATATTCCCTGCCAGTCATCATTCTCTAGTTTTGGAGGAGACTCCTTATCACGAATGCGTTGGAGTACACTCAGGAGAATTAACAACATGCACACCAACATGAGTATTGATGACACACTCACCAACATGAGTATTAATTCAAGACTCGTAAAACGTTTGACAAACCGAGAAGAAAACGCTGAGACTGGTCTGAACATTGTGTTGTTTGTAAAATTAGCTATTCCATTTGGGATGTAGCTGTTTGTGAAATTAGCTACTCCATTTGGGATGTAGTTGTTTGTGAAATTAGCCATTCCTTCTGGGATGTAAATGTCAAAGTTCAAATCATACCACATTGCAAGTAGGTAAAACATAGGTGTCTCCATCAGTGCCCTTAGGTAGTTATATATGAATGCAATTCCACAACACGTAAGTATGAGATGGATTATTGGCCAGTAGGTTGTGACTAACACCATTGCTTTAAATCCTTTACACAGCACCCCCACGATAACGAGTGGGTTCATCACTGGTGCTTGCTAAAAAGGGGTTAATGAATTGAAGCTAACAAGAGGAGGGAAAAAAAAAAGGAAAAAGGCACTACCCAGACTAAGTAGTGCTCAAAGTTTACAAATATCCCAGAACACTGGCAGTACGCCTAATCTTTCAAGGTCAGGTTTTCCAGCACAGAAACCTGAACTACTGATAATGCTCCCTAATGAAGCTCTCTAAGAGCAGAGAGAAAAAGAGATTCGTTCTAACAGCTAAAAAGCAGCGAGCCCCACGTTGGGCGCCAAAATCTGTCACGGAGTTGACCAGATCAATCTATGTCCGTGACAGGGGCGACAGGCCTCCTCTGGTTAGAAGAGCAGTGGGGTTTCCCCGCTGACAGAATCGATTTGCAATATCAGAATCCAGATGGAGCTGTGATTTCCAGCAGGAAAAGAGATGCTGCCCACATCTGCACCCAACGCGTGCTCTGCCGGCCCTGTGGGTCAAAGCAGATCTGACCTTACACATGGGAAGGGTCCCCCATGTGCTGATTTGACTTTGGAGTCTGACATCGCAGAGAACGGAGAGCACACTTCATCAGCTCAGTAATTGAATTGACAGATATTTGCCCACTCCAATACAAAATAATAATTGCTGCTGTGCTACGGCCCGCACCAAGCTGCTGGCTTTGGGGAGCGGAGGGGGGATGAGCTGTGCAGGAAGCTGCAGGGGAGAGAAAGCACCCAAATGGCACTGGAGGGATGCGAGGGGGGGGCTGCAGCTGGCTCAGAGCTGCAGCAAAGGGCTGATCCCCCTCCCCACTATTGCAGACAGGCTCTGCTGCAGCGCACAGGTGGGCAGTGGTCCCACAGCACAGCCCCAGCAACCACCCATCTCTTCAGCTGGAGGGGAAGGGGTGCAGCAACCAAACTATACGGGTAAGGGGGATCCTGCAGCACAGCCATGCATTGCTTTGTGCTTTGTGCTTTGTGCTTTGTGCTTTGTGCTTTGTGCAGTGCTTATACAGAGCTGCTCAGTGCTGCTCCTCCGGGTGCCAATGGGGAGCAGGCAGTCTGCAGCCATGCACTGGGTGCAGCAGCTGTGTGCATTTCGGGCCTCTCCTGCTCCCTGTGGGCACTGCTGGTGGGCAGGGGGATGGATGGGGCGGGATCACACTGTGCCATCTGCATTTTCACTTTTCACTTTCGTGTACGCGAGCCTTGTGGGCTGAGAGCATTCCCATGTGTGTGTCACTGCTAACGATGGGGAGCACAGAGGCGGCTGCTTCTGCTGCTCACACTGTTCTCTGATTGCTTTTTCTCCCTGATTACACATTTCTGGGATGCATGTCCCGTTTAGAAGGGAGCAGCGAGACGTCTTCAGAGACCTCAGAGGACTCGGACAGCAGCTCTCTGCACCCACAGGTACTGAGCTGTGCTCCACGGGCAGAGCTCTGCCAAAAGCAATCACAGCTGCTACAGCCGTGGCAGCACGATGAAGGCAAACACATTGAGATGTATTAAAATAACCAGCTGTAGGTGTTGCCCCTGCCCCACGCAGTGCTGACAGGGCGATGTCCCCACGGGTGATGGCGGTGCCAGGGCACGGTGTGCTTTTCGGTTCCAGGGCGCAGGCACCCTGAGGTGCTGCTGTGTGACCCAGCACTGTGCCTGCTCCCCTAGGAAAGGAAAACCCGCTCAAAGGAAAACCTCAACTACACATCCGTGCTGTTCCCGGGGAAAGGCTCTGATAGGAACTACGAGAACATGAAGATGGGCGCTGATTACGTCAACGTGGACCCCAAAAAGAAGAAAGCAGAGTTTTGGACCTGCTCCAGCCCTGTGGCATCCAAGTCCATCGAGTACACAGAGGTGAAGCTGTGACACTTCCCTGGGGTCCCACAGCAGCCACCGCTCTGTGCCCAGGTCAGTGCTGGCACAGGGCTGCTGCCATTCCCTGGGATGGTGCAGCTCCCCCAGGGATCTTTTGGGGTCGGAGGCTGTGGGTGTGGGGTGATGTGGGGCTGCCCCACACCTCCCTGTGGGGAAACGCTCCTTCTCAGACTGCCACAAGCTCTGCACGTGTGTGTGAACGCCGTTTTCTCATCTTGTGAAAGCAAATGCTCCCCCAGCGGGATGCGGGTAAGAGAGGGAAATGCAATCATTTCCAAACCATCCCTCCATTGGGCTGACATATCCTGTGAATAATGCTTCCTTCGCTGATCGCTGTCATAAAAACCTTTTAAATACACTCCATCCACTGGCTTCACCCTTCCTGCCCTCACACCGATCCCTCCTCTCTGCACCCCATTTTCCTCTGATGCTGAACCCCCTCAGGGCCCCATCAGCCCATCACCTGGCAGTGGGGTGGGCACTGGGGGCATTGCCTTTCTCAGCTGCTGGAGATGAGTGGGGCTCTAAATCTCCTCTGGATGTGGGAGAAGCAGGATGGGACTACGGCATCTGTGCTTGACTAAATCCCTGCATTGCATTTTCCCTGCCCTCCACCTTCCCTGCAGCAAACGTGTGGGGTGCAGGAGGTGATCTTCCCCACCAGAGCTGTGCCCACCCCAGGGTGAGTGTGGCTCCCACCTCAGTTGGAGCTCAGTGTGACCGACCGTGGCTCACCTGGGATGCTGCAGGGACAACAGGAAGAAATCCCATTGCCTCCAGGTCCTGTGCCCTGCAGGTGCTCTGCTCCTCGCTAAATAAGACAAAAGCAGCAGCAGCGATTTGAAAACGGTTCTTTAATGTGCAGCAGCTGTTCAGCAGTGCAGAGCAGCACTGTGCAATGGCTGCTGACTGCAGGAAGAAGAAACCTGGTGGGAGGGAGGCAGGATCTGCCTGGATGAGGTGGAGGTGGACCAGGGCTCTTCCAGGCATCTCCTCAGTGATGTCTGTGCTGCATTTGGGGTGCTTGTACTACTGCATTGCAGTACTGCAGAGGGGAAATACCTGGTGCAGTGCAATGCTGCAGAGAGCAATGCAATGCAATGCAGTGCAATGCAACGGTCGTGTCTGCTGCAGCCCTGGGGACATGTGCAGAGCCACAGGGCAGGGGGAAGCCATTTGCATTGGCTGCTCCACCAGCAAAACCATGAGGCTGGGAGACAGCAGTGTGACTGCAAGGAGCTCTCAAGCAGATGTGGCTGCAATGCCTCCTGCTGTGCTCAGACTGCTTTGCTGGCAGCTGTCAAACACCCAAAACTCTCTTAAAAGGGTCTTTCTTAAAAGATGTGCTGATGCAGCATCCCCATCAGACACCTGGGTAATGAGCATGGAGGGGAGCAGGGTGGTGGATGGGGATGCATCACAGTGCATGGAGAGGTGAAAGCTGCACATGGTGGTGGGCTGCCTCCATCTCCTGATGCACACAGCAGACGCAGCGCATGCAGCAGCAAAACCCACGAGGACAAGAAGGCTGGTGATACATTCTGGGTGAAGCACACAGCTCCTGGTGAAACGCAATGCTACCGGGAGGGGAGACAGTCCTGCCTGCCATTGTCCACGATGCCACAGCAGCACCGCAGCCTACAGTGTGCCTGAATCGGTCACTGCTTCCTCCTCGAGGGGGCTGAGGTTGGTGCCACTGCCCCTTTGCAGGGGGATGCCAGCACTGAGGCCGTGGCTGAGGATGGTGGTCCTCCTGCTGCACAGGCTGCCGGCCGAGCCCTGCCTGCGTGGTGCGGATTTGGGGCAGCCCCATAGGGCCAGGCAGCGTGCTGCATCCTGCAGCGGGCGCCCGCTGAAGAACATGTAGATGCAGGGGTTGCAGCAGCTGCTGAGGCTGGCCAGCAGCATGGTGATGGTGAAGGCTGCGTCGGCGGAGTCTGGGGAGGCAAAAGGGGGGGGTGTAAACCTCCACTGGAGTGGGCTCAGGGTGAAGGGGGCTCAGCGTGCAGAGCTCAGGGCTTCTGAGGGGTTCTGTGTGGCTTCAGTGCTGAAAATTCCCTCTTGTTCTACTCCCATCCCATTGCTGGGGTGGCAGCTGGCAGCTTTCAGACCTGCTGCTTCCCTCAGTCTGCTGCCAGAGCACCTCCCAGAGGGCTGGCAGGCTGGGTAATGCCTCAAGCAGGCCAGGAGAGATACTGAAATTAAAAACATATGAAATGAAATCCCAAATCAGCTTCTCCAAGCTCTGCAGCTGGCTCAGCAAAAGCCCAGTGGGCACTCAGTGCTCTGTGTGAAAGAGCAGCGATCCTTCCAGAGGGAGAAGGGGGGAAGCTGCACAGATAAAACTCTTCCTGCAGCCACATGGGAGCACAGCAGCTCCTGGAACAAACTCCCAAATGAGGGGAGAGACACATGGCAAAAGGTTTGCATAGCAACTTGATGCCTCCCTACAGCTGCTGGTCAGAAGTCATTGGTTTTCATGGGTTTGATGGAGAAAAGCAACGATTTGGCTCTGCTATGGGGGAGTTAAGCAGTGCTTTGCCAAAACAAACAAACAAAAAAACTTCCAAGAAAAGAAGTGAGCTCCTGCTTGTTAAAAACACAAAGGGCTCCTCCCTCATCCCCACCACTACTCACCATCATCAGGAGCATCCTCGTCCCACACCGACCACATCTGCATGCTGAAGAAGGGAGCCCAGCAGGCAACGTAGGCCACCACGATGACAAATGTCATCTTCACCGTGCGGATCTTGGCGCGGGAGATGGTGCGCACGCTGCTGACACGCGAGGGCTGCCCGGAGTGGCACCTTGTGCCCTTCTGACTGCAGTACAGAGCGCTGGGGGAGGCTGCAAGGAACCCTCCTGCCACAGGGACGCAGCTCTGCGTTTTGCCTTTGAGGTTCTTGCAGATCTCACGGCAGATGAGGCCGTAGCAGGCGGTGAGGATGCCGACGGGCAGGAGGAAGATGCACAGCGTGGTCCAGGTGATGTAGGCACGGGCGCCCCATGGGTACCCGAAGTCAGCCCAACAATCCAGCACCCCTGAGCCTGGCTTCACCTCCCGTAGGGAGAAGATGAAGAGTTGGGGGGTGCTGAGCACGCAGCTGAGCAGCCACGCAGCCCCAACCATGGCGCAGGGCTGGCTGCTGGGCTGGCGCAGGGCGCGCAGCGGGTGGCACACGGCCACGTAGCGATCCAGGGTCATGGCCATCAGCATGTAGGTGGAGGCGAACATGCTGAGCACCTGCAGGTACTTCACCAACCTACAGAGCAGATCCGGCCCTACAAAGCGATACGTCACCTCCCACAGCATCTGAGGAAGCACCTGGAAGAACGCGACGCCCAGGTCGCTGAGTGCCAGGTGCAGCACAAATTGGTGCATGCGGCTCAGTTTCCTCCCAGGGCGGCACACGGCCAGCAGCACGGCCAGGTTGCCCACGGTGGCCACCAGCAGGATGGCTGCCAGCACCCCCACCTCTGCCCTGGCCAGTTGTTCATCCCGGCCCTGCAGCAGGGTCCGGTTGGTGGTCCCCAATGAGGATTGAAAGCTCTGCAGCTCTGTGTTGTGCGTGGTCTGACTGCTGTGAGAGCTGTTCCAGTCCCAGCCTGGCTCCATCCCACTCCTCTGTGTGTCCCCCAGCACTGTGGCCGGTTGCCACCTCTGTCCCTGTGCACCCACTCGGCGTGGGTTTCCTGGAGGGGTGCAGCAATCCCCACTCAGCCTTTGATCTGGGCTGCACTGAGCACCCCTAAATCCTTAAATCTCCCTGCACGGCTCATCTTGCAATCCACCTCTACCCCTCAATCGAAAGAGAGTTCCTCTTCTTTGCTTCCTTTTAGTGCAGCGACGGCAACAGAGGCTGCATCCCTTTGGCCTTTTCCCTCCAGGAGCAGGCAGGACACCAAGAAACCAAGCACACAGAATCCCTGCAGTGAGAACTGCGGGCAGGGATTTATAGTGGGATCCCTCCCCCCCCCCGCTGCGTCCAGCTGCTGTATTGCTGCAATCAGAGCTGTGATCCCAGACTCTGAGGATCTGTGCTGCCCCCCCCCCCCGCAGCCCCTCTTTATTAAACTCCACCAACACATATTACGTACACACACGTGCCGTTCCATGTTTGTTTTGCAACATTGAAGCTTCGGTTTTCCCCCTCCCGGCTGTTGATTTACGCCAAGAAGAAACAGAGATATGCATCTGTTTGTGGAGTTGTTACTTTTTGGGGAAATGCAGCAGCAAACAAAAGGAGTGCATTGGGAGAGGCTTCTTCCCAGCAGCTCCCTGCCCCACATTGATCGGCGTGTGCACGGCTCTGCCCCACTGGGTGTGATATCACCGTTCAGGTGCCCATAAAAGGCAATTATTTGCAGAGTAAAGATTTGCAGATCACCTCTAATAACCGTAAATGAGCACAGTTTGTGCCTAATTAAAAGACATTCATCCTCATAAGAGACCCTACGGGTACAAACTACCTATCATAGGAAAGAGCCTCTGTGAGTTGGTGACAGGAGGTGTTTTGGGGAATGATGCAATTTGCTGCGGCTGTGATCAGACAGCTGCTTTGCTGGGAGATTAATAGAGGGCAATGCAAAAAAAAAACCCAACCAGCCCACAAATCAATACAAAGCAAAGCTGAAGGCAGAGGCGGAAGGGCTGATCCTGCACAGATGAAGCAGCACTTCAGCATTTTGAGGCCACACTCAACTCTCACTGCCACCAGTTTGATTTGGAGCAGTTCCCTCCGCACTGGGGCTGCTGCTCCAGATTTGGGTGTTGAGCAGCAAGGAGAATCCTCCTGCAAAGGTGCTTATGGGAAAGCAGAGCTCATCCACAGAAGGCAAACGATCCTCAGAAGATAGATGTGCACTTTCTATAGGGAAAGATTATCATGGAAAGGAAATTCCTCAAGCAGAAGGATTGAAAAATAAACTCATTCGCTCCCATTGGTTTCCTGCACTTTTCTGAACACGTTCCTGCTGTTTCCAGGTTGTATTTCAGCCAAACCAGAGCTGCTCCTTCTGCAACGGCAGTGCAATGCAGCCCCTTGTTTGCACAGCAGCCCTGAGAACAACAGCTGGAAGGCCAAGCTGAGCAGGGATGCACAATGCATGGCATCCACCTGCAGTGCATGTCCTCCTGCTTGGCCTGAGGTCCTGGCCATGCTGCAGCCGTGAGTTCAGAATGGCCACAGCCCAGGAATTGCTCACACAGAGCTGTGCAGGAGCCCTGGGGCTGAGTGTTGAGCAGCACACAGCTGTGCCCTCAACCAACACCCCCAGCTGCAGCCACCTGGAGCCATTTCCCAACCATCAGCCCCTAGGAGCAGACCTTGGTGTGGGCTGGTGGTAGAACTGTGCTTTGCTGGTGCTGCTCCTGTGAGCGTGGTTTGCTTCCCAGCAAAGGAAGGAAGCGCAGGGGGCCTTGGGGAGCCCCAGTGCTCTGCATGCTGCTGGGTGCTGCTGCAGCACTCTGCGTTTCCTCGTTCCTCCTGGGTGTGACGCTGAGATACCGGACCGTGAAACTCAATTTGTAAGTCCTTAATGTTGCATTTGTCAAGGTAGAACCGTGTCACAGAGTCAATTTTTGGCAGCTGGTAGCATCAATATGACACGGAGCAGAGCACGTGAAATGTACTCTGTGTTCCTGCACCCTGCGGCACAGAGAGGGAAGTTTAACAGCAATTCAACCTCTTGGCTCTGTAGCTGGTTCTTTCGTTTTGTGGGTAGCTAATTAATAGGGAAAAAAAAACGAACGAATGAAGGTTGTTGGCTTGGGTTTAAGCACTGCCTTGGCTCTCAAGACAAATATTTTCCTTGCGGTAAGTGATGGGGTTTAATCTCGTGTTGCTGACAGCACAAAGCGTGCTCAGGCTGTCTTTTGTCTTTAGACTAAAATGCCTTTTGTAGTTCAGGTCAGGAGGGGTAGATCTGCTCGTGTCACACTGGGTGAATGCTGTGGGGTGGGTGGTGTTGCAGTAGGTTGGGATCATTGTGGGGAGGCTGCTTGGGGCAGGAAGGAGAGCTGGTCCTCCAAAGCCAGATAGCCTCCAAAATTAGGCCCCATGTATTCCTTCCCCTGCTGAGGGTTCCCAGTCCTTACAGCCTTGTGTGCTCTTACAACCCCAGCTTGGCT